TGGAGCCCAGCAGGTCGAGGCTGCGCTGGCCGGGAGCGGCCACTGTACTCCAGTCTGGGCAACAGAGTGAGACTCCAACTCAATTAAAAAAAAAAAGAAAAAAGGAGTCATCCAGATTTGTGATGCTACTCCTATGTTAAATGGAGGAAATTATGTGCTCATGTGGTATTTCCGATTGTGCAGATTCTCCAAGCAAAATCATTTAACAGGCATGTTCAAAGCTGGCTTAGGGGACGCGGGTGCTTCTTATAATTTGAGGTGTTCAGTCATGGTCCAGACAGCCACTCAGTGGAATTCAAACAATTCAAACACCCAGTGGGAGGTGGAGCAGACAGGCTTTGAGGCGTTTTCCAATTCTAAACTCCTCGGATTCTTGCACTTGGCCGCCAGGCTGCTCACGCTAAGCTCCCATTCCCCATTGCTTTCTTTTCTCCATTTCTTTTCCTCCTACTTCTCTCCCTCCTACCTCTTGCCATTGCAGTGATCTTCGCTGTTTTTCTTCTCGGCCCTTTGCTCTCACTTCACTGTTCTCTCTTGTCATGTTCAAGAGTTTAAATCAGGCATGTCCCACTCACAGCCTGAACGCCGCATGCGGCTCAGGACAGCTGGTCATGCGACCCCACAGCATCTTTTAACATCATGTGGTTTTTAACGTTTAATTTCTTCACGACCCCAAGCGTAATTCTATTTTTGAAGTTTGTAATCATGCCTTACTCATGACGTCGCTTTTTGGCAGCATATACATTCGTAAGCAGCTGTTTTCAGTTAGGAAGCATACCAAGAGCAAAATTTGAACATTTCTGTTGAACACCTTGATAACTCACTAAGAACTGCGACCACTTCCCGCAAACCAGACATTGAGAGTTAGTTTTGTATGAACAAGATCAAATTTCCCACCAGTTTTATGTTCTTATTTTTCTAAAATTTAAAATAAAAAACTATTTAAAAAAGAAGTCTTATTATGTATATACACTAACTATATTATATAATTTATGTGTGGCCCAAGACAATTCTCCTTTACTCGATGTGGCCCAGGGAAGCCAAAAGGTTGGACACTCCGGTATAAATCTTGATTTTAATGAATTCTAATTTTTCCTTCTGAGACAGAGAAAAGAGACACCAAGAAGTAAGAAGTGGAAGAGAGACCAGATGATGGTAAACAAAAAAGGTTGGGTAAAAACTAGTAATTTCAAGAAATATAACAACACTGATTAATAAAACAAGATTTTAATACAAGTAATAAGAGTAGTTTCAATGCTGTGTGTGGATAATAAAAAACAAAAAAGCGTAGTTGAAACCTGTATATAGTCTTGTATGCAAGATATCAAGTTGGTTATTATATGTAAAATTAGGGGAAAAAAATTTTAGACTTAGATACATAGTGCTCATAGGAAAGAATCAAAGGAACAACATTTGCTTATTTTACTAGGTTGCATTCTTTAGTGGAATTCTGAAATTTTCTCACTGTAAAACAGATTGCAAAATACATTTTATTCCATGCATGAGTATAAAAATGCATTTGGTTAGAATGCAATTATACATGTATAAACATATTTTATATATATAAAATATATGTTATGAAAAATATATATATAAATATAAGAAAACAACAAAAATCCTAAATCTTACACTTCATTTATTAAAAGTCTATGATGAAAAGCAACCTTATCATAGACTTCAGAAAACCAATATCTATGCATAAACATTTCATATTGAAATACCAGTAGAAAAAGACACTCACCTTGGCTTTATTCTTGAAGATGGACCCAGGTAGTTTGTCATAATGGAGGTGAGTTGCCAAAATCCTTGGTGATGGAAACTGTTTCATTCTCTTAAAAATATCCACAAAATGGTGAAAAAGCGTGTGCGTGAATCACTCCTAAGTTTAGTCTCTAAATGGAAGTTTCGAGCCACTGGTATCACTACATGCTCTTCTTCCACTCCAATATGAATTTATTTATTTAGAGTTGGGGTGATCACTCTGTCTTCCAAGCTGGACTGCAGTGGCACAATCACAGCTTGCTTCAGCCTTGAACTCCTGGGCTCAAGCAATCCTCCCACCTCCGCCTCCTAAAGAACTGGGACTACAGGTGCGTGCCACCATGCCTGGCTAGTTTTTTTAATTTTTTGTGAAGATGAGGTCTCGCTAGCTTGCCCAGGCTAGTCTCGAACTCCCAGGTTCAAGCAATACTCCTTCCTCAGTCCCACAAAGTGCTGGGATTATAGGCGTGAGCCACTGAGCCTGGCCTTTATTTCATTTTCTTACTTTGTAAGGATGAAGAATGAAGAATCATAAACAAATAATTAAAACCTTGTTCTTGAATTTCCTTGTTGGATCCTGCTTACCATTTCCCAGTCTTTTTTGTCATTAACAAAAAAATGACCACTTCTCACAATCAGATCCATAATGATAAGATCAGCTCACAATCTGCACTCGACTTCAACTTGACTTCTTCTATATTCAAGGTCTTTTGCAGAAATGTCAAGTCTTTCCACAGTTCCTGCAAATCCATTTTTTTTTTTTGTAGAAGTGAGATCTTACCATGTTTGTTGCCCAGGCTGGTCTCGAATTCCCGCCTTGACTTTCCAAAGTGCTGAGATTGCAGGTGTGAGCCACTGCTCCCGGCCTCAAATTCATTTTTAACATCTAGATTTTTTTTTAACCAACCAAAACTTCAAGCAATCAAATATTCCAGCAGAACTTGGAAATCCATGGAGTCACTTAAATGTCTGAGATATATTTTATGAGAACTTCTTGTCAGTACGAAGACTACAAAGGGATTGATTCTTTTTTCTGTAGTCGATTTCTACTGATAATTTTGAAAATGGAGTTATCTATTTTATCTGCCAGCGTTAAGGATTTTAACTTAAAATCAGATCTTACCAAGCAGGACTAAGGCTTCAAGTCCTCAGTTCCCTATTTGCACAGGTCACTCACTGCTTAGTCACAGCTATAATACACCTACTCATTTCTTTTTTTTTCTCTCTTGAGGTGGAGTCTCACTCTGTCACCCAGGCTAGAGTGCAGTGGCATGCTCACGGCCACCCCAGCACCAACCTGCTGGGCTCCGGTGATCCTTCCACCTCAGGCTTCCAAGTAGCCAGGACTACAGGTGCGCACCACCATGCCTGGCTAATTTTTTGATTTGTTGTAGAGATGAGGTCTTACCAAGTTGCCCAGGCTGGTCTCGAACCTGTGGGCTCAGACAATCCTCTCACCTGAGTCTCCCAAAGTGCTGGGATTATAGGCCTGAATCACCATGCCTGGATTCACCTACTCATTTCAAGTGATAAAATGGCATTCAGATATTTGTAGCCAATAGTTCTGGAAAAACTTACTGGAGATCCCAACTCAAACAAGTGGGTAAAAAAGAAGATTAAAAAAATAAAAAGCAATGTAAATCAATAATATGGGCCTCAGTGGTGACCTGGCGGTGATAATATCTGATGGACATCAAACTGTACTTTTTAGTATTTAAAGTACTTTTACATCCATTCACAATAGTCCTCTCGATAGATATTGTAACCCCCATTTCAGAGATTAAGTACAGGCTTTGAGGTTTTAAGTGCTTTGTGTAAAATCACGCAGATGGTAATTTTCAGCTTAAGTTATAGAGTACTGTTTGCATTAAATGACATGGCTAAGAACCACATACAGACATATTACAATGGTAATGTTACTAAAAAGATTAGAAAAAGACCCAGAGGAGAAATGAAGGTTAACTATAACAAGACTAGATAAATATATGATACTATGGTCGTAAAAACATGTAAAATAAAAAATAGCCAAACTGGAAGCAATTTGTAAATACTAGATATAAATATATGTCGTTTAAGGGAAAAATACGTATTGTAGAAAAGTTTTATGTAAAGTAAACTGTTGAGTGAATTTCATCTCACCGACTTCCGTTTAAAAATAAAAGGTGGCCGGGCACAGTGGCCCAAGCCTATAATCCCAATATTTTGGGAGGCAGAGGCGAGAGGATTGCCTGGGCCCAGGGGTTCGAGACCAGCCTGGGCAACTTGTTGAGATCTCATCTCTACAGTAAGCCACAAAATAAGCCAGGTGTGGTGGCGAACGCCTGTGGTTCCAGCTACTTGGAAGGCTGAGGCAGAAGGATCGCCGGAGCCCAGCAGATGGCTGCGGTGGCTGTGATCTTGCCACTGCACTCCAGCCCAGGTGACAGTGAGACTCTGACTCAAAAAAAAAAAGAAATTGAAAGCTGGTCAATGTTTGCATTGTTTCTAAGAGTGATGTGTAAAGACCTGGGTAGGAAGAAGTCAATAGAGATTATTAGTGATTCCTTCATTTCTTAGGAAAAAAGCCTCTTAAAGCCCCTGTCCACTCATCCTGTTTGCATCCCTGTGCCTGCCCTGACTGAGCCTCCGTCAGGTGTGATTTACCCACCCAGATCCTTTGCTGCCATCACACCCAGGAGCCAGCACTCACCTCCCATTCCCCACACCAGAACACCTACCTTGTTTACAATGTATTTTCTGCTACGTTGGCTCGTTCCATGGAAATGGACTTCCTTCCACCGAGGCTCCAACTTTTAACTTGTATTTGTCCTCACACCAAGTGTCTCAGTCACTTTCCAGAAGCTGTTCCCTAAGTCCCAGTCTAGTGGCTTTCCTCTTAGAAACCCAGTTCTGCCTGCCTGTTGGGAGTCCGTGTGGCGCTCACTTCTGAAAGTTTTGCTGAGACTGTGGTTTTCCCTTGCAGCCTGCCCTTCCTTCCAAGATGCATTCTGGTGTGAAAAGAATCGGGGACAGGGGAAGCTCAGTCTATATCCCATCTAGATTGTTCTGTAGGTCAAAATTTACTCTTTGGCCGGGCATGGTGGCTCATGCCTGTAATCCCAGCGCCTTGGGAAGCTGAGGCAAGAGAGACCAACTTGGACAACAGAGTGAGACCTTGTGTCTATAAAATATACAGAAATTAGCCAGGTGTGGTGGTACTTGCCTTAGTCTCAGCTACTCAGGAGGCAGAGGCAGAAGGACTGCCTGACCCAGGAGGTTGAGGTTGTGGTGAGCCATGATCAGTTCAAGCACTGATGTCCTGAGACAGATCCTTGTTCCATTTCTTCTTTGTCTTCCCTGGGCAGGGGGCACCTGTCTCACACCCAAGACCCAGCTGGTTATGTTGGAAAGGTAAGTAACAACAGGTGGTATGACCTGTTACCACCTTCATGCACATCCGTGCCTCACTCAGCTACTGCTCAATCCCTTCCTAATATGCGCGCGCACACACACACACACACACACACACACACACACACACACACACACACACCAGAGTCATAATTGAGATGGGGAAATCAGAAATCATGTCTTAGTAGGAAAAGACTGGGAAGTCCCACTAGCAGACTGCCCAAGTCTATGTCATCAGACATGGCATATTTTGTTTCAGTTTGTTTCCTGAGGTTTCTTATCTTACCTTTCCTTCCTTTTTTTTTTTTTTAAAGGGAGAAGCCTGGTTCGGTGGCTCACATCTGTAATCCCAGCACTTTGGGAGACTGAGGTGAGAGAAGAACTTGGGCCTAGGAGTTCAAGACCAGCCTACATATTTAAAAATAAATATATAAATATTTTTAAAAGGGCAGGGAGGAGGGCTGGCTCTACAGGGTAGTCTTAAGAGCTCAAATTGGAAAGTTTGGGCTCATAGTGTGGTGGCTCATACCCGTAATCCCAGCACTTTGGGGGACTGAGGCAGGAGGATCCCTTGAGGTCAGGAGTTTGAGACCAGCCTAAGCAACAAGTGAGACCCTGTCTCTAGGAGAAAAAAAAAAGAAAAGAAAAGCCTGAGTTCACATCTTGGCTCTATCACGCATTAGCCCCTTGGGAGAGGTTCTAATAGATTTACCTTCTGTGGAACACTGACAAGGTTATTATGGATAAAATGAAATAATGCCTGAAAGTGCTGAGATGTGGTAGGCACACAACTAACTGTAATAATTATTTGTATTGCACTCTCTGAACTCAAAAGTTAAGAATTTTCAAAACAGAAGTCTTTCTACAACAATTTGCTATAAGAATAAAGGATGTTTGTACTAACCTGATATTTCTCTGAATCTCCACATTCAAGAACTGGGAATTCTGGATATTCATACTTTTTGTTAGAAACAGCAAATATTAATTCACTGACAATGTGGAGAATCCAATTTGAACCTGTCCGAAAAGTTAGAGAATAAAAGTTCACTAAGGAGTCTTGGTATAACAAAGGCATGTTACTTTAGCATATACATGAAAAAATTAGAATCTACAACCATATCCTGATGAGTACATTCAGCTTATCTATGTCTGAAATAACCTGAGCTATGGGGGAAAAATCAGTTTGAATAAACCAAGATTTATTTATATTAGCATAAAATTCAATGTATCTTATTTCTCATATGTCTCCTTTAACAAGAGACAATGCTTTTTTTGACTCTAGACTATGTTCCCTATAGAATAATGTTATATCATAGAAATACTTGTTTATTATATATCATCTAAATTATTTTACCTTAAGTTAATATTTTCTATGTGAGTATATAATTTTGATTTTATTAAAACCTAGCATCAGTTAAGAAAAAGAAAAAATATTAAATGAGGTTGGCTTTAATAATCAACAGCAAAAAGAATTAAAAGTAGCCGGCATATAGCAGAATAATCTAGATTTTCATATCTCCACTGATGAAGAACTTTTGTAAAAATGATTTGAGAAACTGGAGGACTGACGTTTGATTCTAAAAAAAAAAAATCTATTACATGGAAATCCTCATATAAATGATAGAAGTGGAGCCAGGCATAGTGGCACACACCTGTAATCCCAGCATTTTGGGTGGTCAACACAGGAGGATTGCTCAAGCCCAGTAGTTCGAGACTGGCCTGAGTAACACTGTGAGACCTCATCTCTATTTAAAAAAAAAAAAAATCAAAAATTAGCCAGGCGTAGTGGCATGTGCCTGTAGTTTCAGCTGCTAGGGAGGCTGAAGTGGAAGGATCACCTGAGCCCATGAGGTCCAGGCCTTAGTGAATTGTAATCCTGCCACTGCACTCCAGCCTGGGCATCAGAGTGAAAACTCAACTCAAACAAACATGCTTTTGTCTTCAGTCAAAAATCAAAATGAAATTCTCTGCTCCCTCCAGTGCTTGATGCCAGATAAACTTCTCCGCGTTTGTGTTCTTCCCATCAGCCTCGCCACCCATCCGGACACCATCCATCCTCCATCACGGCCTCTTCCCTCAGACACTGGAGATTTTCAACCTAGCAATTCTAGTCACTGATTTGACAATCTATGTACTTCACCACGGCAGCCCCCTTCTCCTGCTGTCCAACTAGCCTCCTGCAGAGAGGAATCCCCTTCATCCTACTCTTGTCTCCAACCACTCACTCCAGGACATTTGCAGGGAATGCTCCGGTATTTACCGCACTTTGGGTAGGATGCTAGCACAATGTCATCGTGTCTGGCTTCGAAGGCTTCCAGGGCTTGGAAAGTTTCTGAGGTGCCCATGGTGACTGGGTAAGGAATCCCCTGATGGGTGAAAAATAGGCGAGAAAGTGCAGTTTCTTTAGATTTTTCTAAAGCTTCATCAATGAACTCAGTAAAATTGGACTTCGCCATGGTGGCTGCCTGCTAATGTCCCTGCTCTGTGGTTGTCCAGGGGCAGTGGTTGCTTTTATTGGAGTTTTCAGGGGCTGGAACAAAGGGCTCCTCCCCGTCATGTGAAAAGGAAGGCACTTTGCTCTCCTCTTCCTCCTCCCTTTTTTCAATCCTCTGACAAAGGGTGAGCCACTGAGCCACAGGTGCTCAAGAGGTTGAGGATCAGGGAATGTGACCCGAGGCTGATTTCAGAACCATTTAGGCAACCCATTCCATGACAGTAAGAACAAAATCTCCTAATAGAAGAAAAGCAATATTAAGTATCTAACAAACAGGTATTTAATTGAACCAGGCAGGCAGTTTTCCTGCTAGAAATTCACAGGAAACTCCAGTTCTGTCCTTGACAGAGAGCTCTCCACACATTCTCTGTGCTTTGACAAGGAAACAGTGGGATTGGAAGGTAATTTCGTGGGGTGGAAAAAAGCCCAGTTTTGGGGGCAGTTGTGGGCACAGGGCTCACTTCTATCACTGACTGGCTCAGTAGATTTAGAAGTGTAAAGACCTGAATTTGAACCTTGGCTCTACTAATCAGTGGTTGTGTTTCTCTGAGTTGTACATAATGTGTCTCTAGAAGTTTCTGTAAATGGGGACCATAATAGCTGCTCCTCTTTTTCTATTTAACAATACAGTTGTGTGGTTCACAGAAGGGAGTGATCTCCTCAGTCCTCTGAGCTCAGCTCCCTCTGGTCAAGCTCTTTAGAGTGAGATGCCCACTCTCTGGGGCTGTCACACTCCTCTTTTTTTTTTTTTTTTTTTATTGTGAAGTTGTTAAGGGTTAGGTATACAATTGCGTTTCATTCAGGCACCCTGTTGATATGGGGTGTTTCCCCGTTCCCAGACAGATATTTGCTACTGTTAATCCCATCTCCCTCCCCCCACCATAGTTTCCCAGTATAGTCAGTCATTTTCGTATAGTATTGCATTGGATGTTTAAGGTCCATTATGTGAGTGAGAACATGTGATACTCAGATCTTTGTTTCAAGCGTTCCATATTTTTCCTACTGGGAATATATCCTGAAGAACACAAATCACTCTTTTTTTTTGAGTTGGAGTCTCACTCTGTTGCCCAGGACAGAGTGCAGTGGCTGCTCCCGGCCACTGCAGCCTCGACCTGCTGGGCTCCGGCGATCCTTCCACCCCAGCCTTCCAAGTAGTTGAACTACAGGCGCACACTACCATGCCCAGCTAATTTTTGGTTTACTATAGAGAGGAGGTCTCGCCAAGTTGCCCAGGTGGGTCTTGAACCCGCGGGCTCAGGCAATCCACTTGCCTTGGCCTCCCAAAGTTCTGGGATGACAGACTGAGCCACTGGGTCCGGCTCACACTTCTCTTTCTCCTTCGGGTAAGTTGGCCTACACGACCTGCCTCCCTTGCTCCTTGGAGTGACCCTGTGATGAACACAGCAAGCTGTGTCCATGCTTGGACAGTGAACATGTGCCTGGGAGCCAGACTTGCTAATTTGGAAGGAAATAGTACTCCTGGGGACAGTAGACCTACAAGGCAGAAGACACCTGGCTCACTGGACAGCCTCAGAAAACAGAGCCACGGTTCACACCCTGGATAGTAAACCTCTTCCTGACCTATGTGTGAAGGAGCATAGTTGTTTATCTTGTTTGAACCATCGAATTGTTGGCATCTCTTTGCTACAGCAGCTTGGTCTATATCCCATGTAGAACATTCTCTGGGTCAAAATTTACTCTTTGGCTGGGCATGGTGGCTCACGCCTGTAATCCCAACGCCTTGGGAAGTTGAGGCAAGAGGATTGTTTAAACTCAGGAGTTTGAGACCAACCTGGGCAACATAGTGAGACCTCGTCTCTGTAAAATATACAAAAATTAGCCAGGTGTGGTGGTACTTGCCTTAGTCTCAGCTACTCAGGAAGCTGAGGCAGAAGGACTGCCTGACCCAGGAGGTTGAGGTTGTGGTGAGCCATGATCATGCCACACTGTATTCCAATCTGGGCAACAGAGTGAAACACAGATTTAAAAAAAAAATTACTCTTTGGTCTCCTGTTAAGTCAAAGACTCATAAACATAGACTATACTTTTATTTTTATTTTTTATTTTTCTATTCTCTTTTCTACATCATTGTCCTTACCTTTTTTTATTTTTTTTGAATCAGAGTCTCTGTTGCCAGACTGGAGTGCAGTGGCACACTAATGACTGCTACAGCTTTGACCTGCTAGGCTCAGGTGATTCTTCCACTTCAGCCTTCCAAGTAGCTGGAACTACAAGGCATGCGCCACCATGCCCAAGCATAGTTTTTAAAAAACTGTATTTACCTCCCTCTAAATCAATGATAACCAGTTAACTCCCATATATGCCAAGTTACCTAGCTGGAAAGTCATTCATATATCAGTTAAAATAACTAACATTGGCTGGGTGCAGTGGCTTGTGCCTGTAATCCCTGCATTTTGGGAGGTGGAGGTGAGGGAATTGCTTGAGCCCAGGAGCTCAAGACCAGCCTGGCAACTTGGTGAGACCTCGTCTCTACAACAAATCAAAAAATTAGCTGGGCATCTTGGTGCATATCTATAGTTCCGGCTGCTTGGAAGGCTAAGGCAGAAGGATCGCCTGAACCCAGCAGGTTGAAGCTGTGGTGGCTGTGAGTGTGCCACTGCATTCCAGCCTGGGTGATAGAGTGAGACTCTAACTCAAAAAAAAAAGTGTTACTTTAGTCAGGCAAGTTGAGGCCACAGAGACTAAGTGACTTCTCGAGGTGGTGGTGTCAACCCAGGCTGGGATCAGAAAGCAGGTCCTACAGCTCTGTACAGGCAAAAAGACAGTGACAGTGAGATCTCAGAGGTCACGGGTTTCATATTGGAGCTTCTTTACCAGCTATGAGAAAAAAGGTTGTGGGAATTTTCACTGGGGGAAAAAAAAATTTTACCTCCAGAGGAGAGAAATTTTTGTGACCACAAGGGGAATAAATTCCCTGGGTTCTAGAACATTTTATGTAATAACAGCATTTTGGGGACAAAAGCGAATTTAATGCATATATCGATTGAAAGATGCATTCCAATTTCAGAAATCTAAACATATGGAAACACATACATCTTGTAAGTGAGAATTTTTTTTTTTTGAGTCAGGGTCTTACTCTGTCACCCAGGCTGGAATGCAGTGACATGATTATGGCTCACTGCAGCCTTGACCTCCAGGGCTCAGGTGATCCTTCTGCATTGCCTAAGCTGGGCTCAAGTAATTCTCCTGCCTTGGCCTCTCAACGTGCTGTAATTACAGGTGAGTCATGGTGCCTAGTCATGATATTTATTTATTTATTTATTTATTTTTAGTTTTTTGAGTTGGAGTCTCACTCTGTCGCCCAGACTGGAGTGCAGTGGC